CAGGTACGGGTTGCTACAATATTACAACATTGGTTTCATTGTCGACGATGCTAAAGCCGAACGAGTGCGACACTTGCTTAGCAGCTCTCCTTATACGATTTGCTTGAATCGTTTCTAAAGAAGCACAAACCAAACGGCCGGCCCTTTTTAGGGCCACGACATATTTCAAAAAGAGAACTACCGTTTCTGCTTTAAAATATATATTTTTATAGACTTGCTGACTGTTATGATTCTGAAAAAAATTAGCGGTGAACACACTGCCCTGAAGACAGAAAGCTGTCACAGCTATTTTGCGTCCACCCCTTGTTTTACGCAATTAACAATTTTTATAAGTATCGCGACAGACTTCAAGAAAGTCAACTGTTAATACAACAACAGTCAAGGAATTTGTGTAGAAAAAGACCCCCTGGGCGTGTGTTCGGGTATGACCTCAACTTCTTTATTGTGTCAAAAGTGGGGGGTGGGCGTTTGCCCAGGCATGGGCTCTTACCCGGATAAGTACGGTAAACTGATAATTCTATGTTTTTCAATTTTTTAGTGCATTGTATATACACCTCTACCAATATCTAAAAAAACGTCTGATTGAATTGCCATTATCTTGCTGCTTTTCAAACTTTTCTTTGATTTATTTGTACGTTGACCATATTTGAGAAACCGTAATAAAATTGTGGCAGCTTTTGAAAGTGATTTTATAACTTTAAACATGATTTATGACACTGCAAATGCAGTTCTTATATGAAAGAAAAAAATTAAACACTGTTATAACAAAGAAAAATATATAGAAAGATAAACAATCTTTAGTTATGAAGAGCATGTTTATTGGTATTGTAACATTTTTCTATATATTTCATGTATATTGTTAGAAAAATTGTTTGAGGCACAATGATAGGCTTATGTCAGCATAAGCTTTTTGTGCTTGGTCGTGTATAAATTGATTTTGTCAGACATCGGACATTATTGGACCTTGATGAATGTCATTTTGTTTCTCAGATAAGATTCAAAATAGCTTTCAGTAAAAAGACTATAAATTTTTGAAATTTCTATTTTACTTTTCTGTTGTTAGGATCTTCAAGAAGAAGCTGACAAGATACATCGAACAAATATAATAATATGTACACCAGGACGATTGCTACAACATATGGATGAAACAAGTTACTTTGACTGCTGTAATTTACTCATGCTAGGTATACTTCAATAAGACAAGTGCCACAGCTCCCAGAATGCAATAGCTTAGAATCTTTGTGGTATTCCACTCACTATATGTCATTGCACTAATGCCTAGTTGTGTACACCTAGTGGTTCAGTGCATTCACTCACTATATGTCATTGCACTAATGCCTAGTTGTGTACACCTAGTGGTTCAGTGCATTCACTCACTATATGTCATTCCACTAATGCCTAGTTGTGTACACCTAGTGGTTCAGTGCATTCACTCACTATATGTCATTGCACTAATGCCTAGTTGTGTACACC